GTATCGAAAAGATAAATTTAAAAGACAAGTCATGATACATTTTGGATACGCATGGATATAGATGAAAAATTAAGATACGCATGAAAATACATGAAAACACTATCGATACTCCAATAAATTATAAATATACATTAATAACATTAATTATAGGGCCTAAATGAGCTATATATGCATAAAAATCACATCAATCCTTAAGTGATTTTTATGAAAAAAAATGTTACAATCAACATACGGAAACATAAGGGTATTCTCTAATAAGGTTATAACTATAAAATATAAGCTTAATAATTATTTAATTAAACATTTTCCATAATTTTTTAAATAATTATTTATTATAAAATGTAATAGAAAAATAATTTTATGGATGTAGTAGATCATCCATAGGTTTACAACATGTTAAATGTTATAGTTAGACCATACCAAAAATTAGAAAGAAATATTTTACAATAAATTTTAATAGATCTATGAATTAAAAATTGAAAAAATAAATAAATTATAAAAAAGTTTAAAAAATAAATATTTTAGATTTACAAAAAAAATAAATATTTTTTTATACTAAAATTGAAAAATAAATACAAAAATTAATATTTTAGAAATTTCAACAAATCTATGATATGGTAGATCACTCGTAGATCTATGACACAATTATTCTTCATGGGAAAATTATACCAAAAATATAAWTTTTTTTTATTTTTTTTATTTTTTGTTTTTTCTAAACTTTCTTCAAAAAATTAAATACATCTATTTAAACCTTAAAGAAGAGAAAGAAGGCTTTTAGAGAGAGTTAGAAGCCTTTTTTTTCTCAAAAAATTTTAATTCGTTTTTTGCATACAGGAAAATCGTATTGTATTGACCATTACACCTCGATACAAGTCCAATACACCCCAATGCAAGCCCGATACACCGTAATATGGTCACGATATGGGGTAGGCATGACGAAAAAATATGACACAAATGATTTTGTAGTGTTTCCCGTGCCAACCCTTTAAAGATATGATACATATTGACCAATACGGGCCGATACGTTACGAAATTTTGAACCTTGTGTCTAATTATAAACGATTTGAGGGCTTTGTTTTAATATATAGGGTTTCTAGAAGATAAGGGCAACTTTTTGCCCTTAATATCATTACAAAATATTATTTTTATATAATAATTAAAATAGGATAACTTTTTAGGAAAATTATCAAGAAAGGGCACTTTTACTCATCTTCCTCCTCCGCCTCTGTATTTGTGATTGGTTAAGGTCGTCAACAACAACTATGGCCGGAGTCCTCAGGAGAAATCTGTAAAATCATAGGAGACACAGTGGAATGTTTTCTTGTTTCTTTAGGCAAAGTGACGTCAACAACCTCAGGATCCCAGCCAACCTCAAACCAGAACTTTCTCTCTCTCTCTCTCTGAGAAGTGAGAACTCAGAAGCAGAGCTTTACGGCCATGGCGGACGAGACAGCAGAGACCTGAAACAACGCTATGCTGGCCATACTGGAGCTCGCCAACATGATTAGCGTCCCGATGTCTCTCAACGCCATCGTCCACCTCAAGGTCCCCGACGCTATCTAGCAAGGTGGTTCTAACGTCCCTCTCTCCACCTCCAAGTTCCTAGCACGTGTCTTCCCAACCGGCAATCCCGAAAACTTCCTAAGGCAGATGAGATCCATTCGCATGAATACAGAGGCAGAGGAGAGAAAGACGAACAACAACGCCCTTTTTTGATATTTTTCCAAAAAAACTACTCTATTTAAGTTATTATATAAAAATGTTATTTTTTATTGATATTTAAGGGCAAAAAGTTGCCCTTAATATTTCTCCCAAATGTGCTTAGCACAATTTCAATTGTAATAAATTTATAATTTTAAAAAATGATCAACACGAGGGATACAGATATTAGTGATGGGTTCAAATCATTAGGGCTGAAAATGGATTGGGTAAATTGGATTCAAATCTTATCAATTAAGTCCACACAGGATTCAGGTCAAATTCAGATTAAGATGGGATACAGATAGGGGTGTTAGTGGACCGATTATGGGTTGGACCTATCCAAATCCAAATCAAATTGAATTGGACCAGTTTAGGCTTTATGGTCCAAAGTATTTATTGGATTGGATTGAACCTCATCCATCTATAATGGATTTATATTGGATTGGGTCAAATTGAACCAATATCTGGTCCACTGATGAATGATAAGAATACAAGCGTCAATGTACTAGGTTTGGGTTGGAACCAATCTAAAATAGATTGGACAGTTGAGACATTGAAATAGACTAGTCAAAAAATATTTATTGGATTGTGTCAAGTCAGTTGGGACTGATTAGTACCCTATACCCTAAACTTTAGGGGTCATATCAAGTCAGTCCTTGAACTTCAAAATGTGTCGCTGCAATATCCTGAACTTTCAAATTGTGTCTAATACCGTTAACAAACGTTAATGGATAAGTGAAATGACAAAAATATCCGTTAGGTGTCATCTAATTTTCTTTATCTGCCACTTCCACATAAACCAATTCAGGAGTTGAGCAACATGAAATGGTAGCGCTTTAGATGTGGCGATTGTGGCAGAGAATCGTCGCGTCTGTTAATGTTGAGTTCCTGTAGTCTTCTTTTTCACATTCGGGCATTACATTCCTATTTCATCCATATCTAGCAATGGGAAGTGCAATTGCACCAATTCTTGCAAACTGAGCAAGTTGTTCTATGGATAATGAAAATAGGTGAACCAAGTTGTTCCATTGAATTGGTCAATGAACCGTTGACCTGGCGGTTTGACTGCTGAACTGTTTGACCCAGGGAATGGTTCGCGGTTTATTACTTATGACAACAAGAATGAAAAGAGAAGATCTCTCAGATCTGAGATCTACTAGAGAGAGAGAGATTAGTTGAGAGATGTGTGAGAGAGATCTTAGGTTTAGAGATATGTGATAGAAATCTAACTACTAGAGAGAGTGCGTGTGAGATCTAAGAGAAATCTCACATCTACTTTCGTCGCCACTGTTCCCGTTGTAGTTTATCATCGTCATTGTTGTCATCGTCATCACTGCAAGTGACCTCCTCCTCCTCCTTCTCTTCTAAACTCTCTCAACCGACAATGTCTTAAATCTCACTCTCATCCTCAAACCTTATTTCTCTTGATATTTATATGCATCTTACCCTATTATTCCAATCTAATGGGTAAGATGACATATCTCATGTTAAAGTGTTTAAATCGTTTGAACCATTTAACTCGGATGGTCAAACCGCTGACTCAGAAACCGGTGGCTAAAATGGTTTCATTTTTGGGTCGGTTTTTAAAACCTTGCTTACCAGAAACATGGTGGTTGAATCACTTAACACCTCCTTCAAACTGTGCTTGTCTCCTGACGTGGTGTTAACAACAAATATATGTGATTAATTCGTTTTCTCTAGAGGCTTATGTGGCTTAATTTGCAATGTGTGAAGCATGCTAGTCAAGATGAACTCGTTCTTGGTCGTGGTCTTACCATGAACTCACAACATTGAGTCGTGTTGATCGTATTTGAGGCTAACTACTTTGATGTTGAACATCATCTTCACCCTTGTAGCAACCTTTGCCACCGAACCCATCTGAACCTTCTGGGTGTTCTCAGATGAAATTGTATCACCTTTGGATGCCAAGTTGTATATGAACCAAAGGTCGTCTGGTTCCTTGGGGATTATCTCCACTGTACTAGACCCATTTCCATCTAGAGACTTTTTAATGAGATTTATTGCAGTAGAGGAAGCCTTGAGCCTTGAGCAATATAATTCTTCGTATGAATCCAGTTGATTGTTCGATTGCAATTGATCATTGAATGGAGGAGCTTGAACAAGGGAGCGGGAGCTTCAACAGTTGATCGGTGTCCAGTTTCATAACCCTTCTTCCCCTTTCATTTTTTTTAACACTTAAACGAAATGGGTAAAATGGTTAGAAAATACCATAAAGGATAATTTTGCCATTTTAAAATTATTTAATGCACATCTAATTTTACATGACGCTGTTGACTGATGGTCAGCTAATGGTAGAGACTTATTAGACACGATTTGAAAGCTTATATACTAGAAAGAGACGTTTTAAAGTTCGGGGACTAACTTAACACAACCCCCAAAGTTCAGGACACCGTTTAAGCTTATATATTTAAATTGAGTTGGAACATTAGGGATGGATCCATATTTGATTCCCCAAATTTCTAATTAAAAACGGATCAAGTTTGGACGAGTATATATTAAACATTACAGCATTGGAGACCATTGAGCATTAGGGCTCTGTTTGGGAAGGCTGAGCTAAACGTTCAATTTAGCTGGTTGAGACTTTAGATGCTTTGAGGCAATACAGATGAGCTTTCCAAAAAGGCTGAAGTGGACAACCTAACCTAAAAAACGACTGATTAGAAATGCCTATTTGTCTCTCCTAAGTTTTCATCAAATATATAGCTTAAAAAGACTGTCAATATAGGGCCCACTTTGGAAAGCTAGAATCCGTTGCAGTTCAACCCTCCCAAACGGGCACATGGTCTACAAGTTCATTAGGCTTCATTTTTTGGCAATGTTAATTTTATTTGCACTGGTGTAAATGCTTCGGAGTGTAAATGGAAGGACATTTGTTTATGATGTCATCCCTATTTTATTTGGGAGATAATTACGATGGAAGGTAATGCAAATTTTGCACTAGGTACTAAGAGTGCAAATCATAGTAAAAACAAAACAGAAACAGGTGCAAATTATATATCTGATATTCTGATTCAACTTTGTACCACAAACAAAAAGAGCCTTTAATTACATCACAGGAATACAAATGCGTAACGTGTTAAACTTCTAACTCCAGATCTGCTGTGTGCGAACGCTGTGCACACGCCGAAGTTCCCTATGCACGTGCGGCTGTGGTGTCCTGCTCATAACATAACTTGCGTACCGAAGATCCGTGAACTAAACTTCCCCAAGTAAATGCACATTAATACTAATAAAAATAGATTGCGCTACACAGTCGGAGGTGAGTAACAGAGTCAGAGTGGACTATTCAACCATGAATAAGTGAATTCCTTTCCCAGCAACGCTCAAAATTCAAAACAGAAAAGAAATGACCACCAGACCAGACATGATACAATACAATCATCGATATGCAAACAATATGGAAGACAGCGACAGCTACCCTCCCCCTCAAAAAAAAAAAAAAAAGAGAGCCAAGACCAAGAGAAGAGAATGCAGGTCAGAAAGCACGCGGATGGTGACAACTACAACTACAAAGGCAATAACAATGAGGACACGGCATCATACAATGTCATTTATTTTGGATGCTCCTGTTTACAAAAATTTCTTCTTCTACACCACTGTCTAGTGTCAACTACTGGACCGGCACATCTTACACATTACAAAAACATGAATATACATAGGCAGCATATCTCTTTCCTTACTAAATTCTTTACCAAGTATTTCATTGACTCCAACAAAATGATTATAATGCCCTCTGCTAACTTTCTTGTAGTACACAGTGTCTGGCGAAATACAATAAATGTTTGTCCACTTCCATTAGCTTCTCTCTACTTTGCCTTGATAAGTTGATAAGATGCTACCATTACATGCAATCAGACAGTGATCCCCCTTCCTCCATGGCAAGATCGACAGCAGGGACGACTTTTCACCCGCTGGATAAAGCAAATTAAGCTACTGCAGCAATCGAGCGAGCTCATATATATACCTGGACACAAAGTAGTACAGGTCATAAATATGATAAAAATAAAGCCAACCATGTCTTAATTCAAAGCCACATAGCAAACAGTATTTTACCTTTCAATAAGTTTTCTAGTTCAATATGGACTAAACAAGACCACTGCCTCGATCCTGCCCTTGGTCAAATGCTAACAAACACATTTTCAGGAGTCATGCGCTGGTACCCAAGAGGAGAGTGCATAAATAATCCGTCCTTTCCATCCTTGCAACATCCACTGGCTGTCCTCATCGATCACAAAATCCTTGTGATAGCTTGATTTCACCCTGTCCCTTGCCTTCTTCATGATCTCCTGGTCCAATGGGAGCTGTCTGAACCCAGCCCTCGTATTCCGAACCTGCCACTGCTTGTAAGTCTCTGGTCTCTCAACCCTTTCTGAGCCCTCACATGCTATCACATTCAGGGCTTCTCGTCCAAAAATTTCTCTCTCAATCAATATCCTCTCTTGATCCTCACGTGGAACATTCGTTTCAAGCATATCAAACACAGAAGAAAAGTGGAAAAGAGCTTCCCGGAACCTTGTAACAAAGAATGGGGCACTATAGGCCCCATTCACAACCCCATGAATGAAAATATCAGGATTTAACCTCCTGATCAGGTTCAGAACAGCATTCCTTGGACTCTCCACCACCACAGTCTCATCAAGCAGATTTCTAAAACGATACAAGCAGTTCACAATAAGTATCTCATCCCTCTCGATCTTGAGATCCTCAATTTGAATGGTTTCCCATTTCTGTGCAATGGCATTGTACTCGAAAGGAACACCAAAACTTTCAGCATAATTTGTTAAGCGACGCCCTGTTTCCTCGACTCTCTCAGCTGGCCGGAAACCAGGCTGTGGAAGATCGATCCCAGTAAAAATAAGCTTGGGGGGCCCACCAGGTCTTTTTGAGAGCTGGTGGATAAGGCATGGCCATTGGAAACCATAAAGGATACCAAAATCTATGATATGGAGCCTTGTTGCTTTCTCGGCCAAATTCAAAATTGTCCGGTTTGAGAAGAAATTTGAGAGCTTCTTGAATGGACATGCAGAAAGGTATAGATGATAAGCCTTCAAGGTATCAGCAGCTGATGTTCTCTTTGTTGCAAGGGCAGTGTAAATCTGGCTCCCTGTGCCAGCCAAGCGTGCCTCAAGGCCTTCAGCGAAATAATGGGCTAACCTCTGGTTTCCATCCCCAAATGGAGAAGAATGCTGCCTGATTTGTTTCAGCAGTTCACCAGCATTTCTACGGTCATCCGCAGCAACAGACTGTGCACAGTGAATAAGTAGAGTCCTCAAATCCACAACTTCCTTTCTACCACCATGTTTCTTACCACGGGATTTCCCACCATTGGATCCTTTGGAATGCCCATTCTGATGTGAATTTTTGCTTGTGCCATTATGCAAGGCTTCTTGAAGAATAGACAAAGAAGACTCTTCTTTCCCTCCAGTACAAAGCAATACCTTATCAAACTCTTCAGATCGTACAGTGGGTTCAGCATAAACTGCAGACTGCTTGTTACTCCTCCCTTCCTCTAAATCTGTATCCTCTGGATGTGGATTCTTCCTTCCCCTCGACCCATTAGGTGAGTGCTCCCTCTCATCCTTCTGCTCTACCTTGACCACAACATCCTTAACCTCTTCTTTTGGTTTGCGAGGGAATAGAGGATAGGTGTCTAGATCAAGAATCAGGTTATTACCATTAGGAAGGAACTTACTAGCTTCCTCAACTCCTTTCTGGAACTGCCAAACAGATTCGCACTCACTAATTATCTCAGGAACTTGAACTGTACTCACTGAGGACTCTAAAAAACCATCTACAGTGCTAGTACCACTGTTTGAAGAGCTGAAAGATGAAGGGGAAGTGGACTGAGAAGTATAGTCACCAAGAAAAGTCGCTGTCTGAGTGGGCTTGAACTCTCCAATATCAGAAATCCAATTTGTATCAACTGCGTTGCTGCTACTACTGCTACTGCTGTTATAGTTGATGTACTTTGGGGTGAAGTGATCGTCTAGGCCTTCAGGGTTATCGTCAAGATAAAGAGGAGGCTGATTGGGGGAAGGGGGATATTTCTCGCCAAGGATATCATAGAAAGGTTTTTCAGTGGCTTGAAGAGCCGAGGACTCCTGGAGCATGCAGGCTTTCTCTTCCATGTCTTCTTCCATAAGCATCTGGCTTATGTACTTGAGAACTACATCGGAGAAATCCAATTCTTCATGGGACTCTTCCTCGCTCACAGTCGAAGATGAAGGGACAGTGCTAGGGTTTGGATCAGGTTGAAGAAGTGGAAGAGACCCGATAGGATTTACAATGGTTTCTTCGAGTTTAAGCTTATTGACAATATTCTGAAACGAAACGGGATCATCGTTGAATCTGATTCCGTTCATGGAACCAGATAAAACTCTGAGGTGTGGATCCATAACCATCTATGCTAGAGGACCACTAACACAATTCGACGTGGAGAGTCCCCTATCCAATCCTAGCCGATAAGTTTCCTATGAATGAATAAATTAATTAAATAACCCTTTTTCAAGATAAATTGGATTTTTCAGGTTTTTACAGACCAATAACTTCAACAACTCTAAAACGGAAACATATATTAGAAATTTTCTTAAATCTTATAATCGCTAGAATGCATCGAACATTTCCAAAGCTGAATCATCGAGTACGAAATTTACGGGCAAGTTACTAGAATTTAGCATATTAGATGACTAGATTCAAAAGTCTAACGCGAGAACTGAATCAAATCGACATGGAGATTAAGAGAAATGAACAGAAACTAACGTCAGAGGAGACGCGAGATCGACATATAGCAATAACAAGCTTTCGATTTCGGAAAAGGGATAAAGGAGAGAATAACAGACTACGATGAATAACAAGCAGCAGGGAAGAATAGTCGTACCTTGACGAGACGAACCCTAGCCCTAACCAAGTACGCAGAGAAAGAAAGCTGAAGCTGAAGCAGAAGCAGAACTTTTGGTGACTTGCTCCACTTTAAAGGGTGGAATGGAAAGGGCTCCTTTACTGTGTCGAAGGGGGGAACCTTCAAGGAAGGACCAGAAGGCACTATCTCAGCCGTTGGATCCGTTCATCCAGATGTTACCGGCTACAGTCTTTATTTCAACGATTTTCTCCGGTGGTCGGTCCTCATAAAAGCATGAGTCGCTACAGAGACTGTCATGAATTAGTCGTCTATCTCCTCGCCGATTTCCCCATTGTCACTTGTCACTGTTGGCCTTGGGCTTGGCCGTTTGGGACCAGCAATAAGTTGGTCCAGGTCACTCCGAACTGATCCTAATCTAACGGCGAAACTGATCGAACTAAACAGTACAAAACTAGAAAAAACGACAAATGGAGCTCTTCCATCCATTCATCTCCCTATAGACATCGCGGGACCTATGAAAATATAGTTTTTTACACGTGTCCGACCTTGTGTGCGAAGAAAATAAAGAATATATATTCTTTTTTTCGCTTCATGGGACTACACAACAGCGTGTAGCCCATTCCCTTTCTCTTAACCCTCGCCACCATCACCCCGGTGGCAGCGGGATTTGATCCCAGGTCTCTACTTCGACGAGTCACAAAACCTACCAACTGAGACACCGTCAGTTGGTAATAAAGAGTATATATTCCAACGGCTCGCAAGTAAGCCACTATCAGTTGGTAACGAAGAGTATATATTCAAACGGCTCGCAAGTTACTAGGAGCGGGCCGAGCGGCTCACATTCGTATATCTTAAGTTGGTACTTGTTGAGGGTTGAAACGTGTTTTGTTGGTAGAATATCTCTCGGATCACCTGCCAATAAAACGAGACTAAATCAGCCCCTCACAACATCCCACAACACATCTTTGCCGTACATTGGGAACATCTCTTGATGATAATCTTAGAAATGATGATGTTATCATCAGGAGATGCTTTCAATACATGGCAGAGATGTGCTGTGGGACGTTGTGGGGGCCAATCTCGTGGGGGGTTGATTTGAATTCCAATAAAACATATTTTAAACCTCTACCAATAGGATCTCACACCGCACATCTTATACATGGCGGCTCCCACTTTTATGATGGGTCCTAGACTGATGGTGAGATGTGCGGTGTTAGATCAAGTTGGTAGAGGGTTGGAATGTGTTTTATGGGCAGAATATCACAATTCTCATCATCCTCTGTGGTGAAAGCCTTGTTTGCTAACACTCTACAAATGCCTCATAGCATATCCCAATCATGTATTGGGAACATTTTCCACAAATAATTTCTGGAGATGTTCTCAATGCATGTTGAGATGTGCATGTGGGGCATTTGTGGGGGCATCATACAAGTCAAAGTGATTTTGAGCCCATCTCCATACTTAAATTTAGAGATATTATTATCATGAATTTTCAAAACCTCAGGAAAGTCCCAATTAGTGAGTTTTATTATATTTTTGTTAGTTCATTATTAATGATTATTAATAGAAGTTGTTTACATTATCATTTGGGTATTTTACATTAACCAATTTATTTTTGAATGGCCAATCAAACTTACTAAATATTTTTCAAAACAATATTACTCATTACTTGAGCCTTACCTCACACCAAGCTTGCAATTAGAGATGGTAATTTACAACCCAACCCACCCGTTTATTGGCAGGTTGGGTCGTATTTGTTAACCCTGGGTCTTTAGTGGGTGGGTCAACCCAACAAAAATATTTTTAATGGATTGGGTGGGTTGGGTCATGGGCATCCAACAAGCATTCAATAAGAATTTACTTTTTCTTTTTGATTTGGAAAGCACTGTTTTTAAAATCGGACCAGACTGGACAGTTAGACCGAAAAAACCAGGAACCGGTCACCTGATCAGTTCCATTTTCCTCCAAAACCGCTTTTTTTCCTAAAACTGTTGATTTTGATCAATAAACCACTGAACCGGCCGGTTAATCGTTCGAATCGGTCGAATGGTTTTGACCATTTTTCAATTTTTTAATTTTTTTTGTCAGAATGAACCGACCGTTCGAACCAGTAACTGGACCCCTGACCGATTCGGTCACCGGTTCGTTTTTAAAATCCATGTTGGAAAGAGCTTTATTTTCTGTATATGTGTGTGCGTGCACGTGTATTGTGCGTGTCAAGACTTACATTTCTTCCTAATTATTACAATTGCTGGAGAACATTACATGCAGCGATGAAGTCAACATTAGAATGCATCGTCGATTCTTATGGTGATGTGAATTTTATCGGTGTTGTTGCCTAAAGTTGAGGAAGGGAGGTTCTACTAATTAGCCAGTGAAGTTAGGGTCGAGTACAAGGAGTTCGAGACTAACGTGATAGCATTGTTTCTTGGAATTGCAGTTCATGCTGGAAATCTGATAATGGTGCAGAAACTACTGGTAAGCCATTCATAACTCTCAAGATCGTTGCAACTGTTCATTTATCACTTGTGTAAGCAGAGGACTTTGGCGACGTTGGAGAATTTCATTCATTTTCTACCTGTTTTTTTCTCTGCATTTTATTTTGACATTTTTTGGGACAAAAATCCATTCTTCATGTTTTGCCGAAATTATGATTTCTCTAGGCTTCCTTTTGTGCTCCCCTTGGTTTTTCATATTTGGCCTTTTTGGTTGAGGTTTTCTTAATTAAATTTTAAAATCTTCTTTTAAGCCCAAGAGGAATTATTCTCAATTCTTAAATCTGGAGACAAGCTGGAGGGATTTGGACGTTGAAGTGGAGGTGAAATTTCCTCTTCTTGATGTCTGGTCTCCTTCCCAGCATGCTTGACAAAGAGGAAATTTCCTCTTCTATTAAATACTTGCTTTGTTACAATGTTGTTCGAAATATTAAAATTAATTGATTAAAATACTAATCAGTTTTTTTTCTGAGGAAATTTCCTCTTCTTGATGTTTGGGCATTTTTGTAATTTATGTTATTTTTATTTATTTTTTGTGTTATTTTCGTAATTTATGTTATTTTTCCGTGTATTTCTTTGTTTTTTTTTGTAATTTATATTATTTTTCTTCATTTTCTGGGTTATTTTTGTAATTCATGTTATGTTTCCATGTATTTCTTTGGTTTTTTTGTAATTTATGTTATTTTTCAATGTATTTCTTTGGTTTTTTGTAACTTATGTTTTTTTTTTCATTTTCTGGATTATTTTATAAATTATTACATTTATTTTTTCTGTAATTTATGTTATTTTTTGCATTTAATATTTTATATACATTCTGTACTTTCTATAATTTAAATTATATTTTTCTAGAATTTGTGTGCCTCATTTACTGAATGAAAAATTAATGAGTTGGTTGGGTTATTGTGGATTTGGGTTGAACCCAATTCATTTAATTTTTTATAAATGGGTCATTAATGGATTGACGGGTCAAATGTATTGGATTGAAACATAACCCAAACCCCACCCACCCAAACCTGATCAATTGCCACCCCTACTTGCATAGTCAAAGTGAATTTTAGATAATATCCCTTATTTTTTACCTTGAAACATTTTTAATTAATAAAAATGAGATGCGCCAATGTTAGTCCTCTTATTTAAAAGGAAAAGGTTTTAACGAGATTGTATAAAATCTCCAACTACTACCAATGCATCATGAACCAAGGTTTAGAAATGTGATATTCAAAGTAAGGTTATTTTGAGAAATTGGTTATTTTCACGGGATAGGCTCATAACAGGCCTAAGACCCACCCCTGACATATTTTTGAAAAAAAAAATAATAATAATAAAATATGCACAAGGTTCATAGTGTCGATACCACCCCTTCCAATGTATCACGGTGTATCAATTCTTTGAACAGAACCATTTATCAGGAATATTCAAGGTTCAGTACGTAGATTAAAATAAAATATCAAATCAAGACTCTTATAAATGTTCCTAATGTTTGGTGTATGATGTATTTATAGCAGTTAATAAGTCTGACTTCTGACCATTAACTATATTGATAAAATGTAATATCAGTGCACATGAAGGAGTCTTCATCAATGTATACGTCTTTGGCAGTCATCATGGTTGAAAATCATACATATTGATAAACACCCCTAAGTTGTCTTTGGAAGAAATCTTTAAAATAGTGAAATTAGACAATGTAAGCCTTATTTATCACTCTACGTTAGATGTTCAATTCAATGTGCTTGCCTTTTTATTAATTTAGTTATTTTGGTGGGGGTGCATATATATATAAAGTGATCGCAACATAAGGTCCAAGACGTTAATCCTTTCAGTGGGATCAGTAGGGTTTGGGCATTCGATAACCGGTGGAATAGGGGCGGAAATCAGGAAAAAAAAAACTAAGAAAGGATAGATCTACGGGCATTGTTAGTATATGACAAAATAAATAACTATAATGCATGTGCTTCATTATTCAGGAATTAATGCCATGTTTGGTTTACTGTTTTGGGATTCATTCTCTTAATTCTTGCTCATTCTAGGCAAGAATGGGCAAGAATGAGTAATATTAAAGTGTTTGGTTATAAAATTCTTACCTAGGGCCACATTCTTTTCACAATGAAAAATCAGCCCCATAGCACAAAAATTGACTAGCCTGCAGCATGAAAAATAATGATGTCCGATTTTGCTCTTTTCATTCTTTGAGAAAACCCTACCTACAAAACTGTTGTCATAAATGTTTACTTTTGCGAAAAGACTTTTACAAAAGTACTTATACATGAAAGCACTTTTATGGAAGTACTTTTATGAAAGCACTTTTATGAAAATACTTTTATAAAAATACTTTTACGGAAGTACTTTTATGAAAGCACTTTTATGGAAAGTACTTTTATGAAAGCACTTTTATAAAAACACTTTTATAGAAGCACTTTTATAAAAGTACATTACTAAAGCACTTTTATGAAAGTACTTTTATGAAAACACTTTTACGAAACTACTTTTATAAAAGCACTTTATGGAAATACTTTTACAAAAGCACTTTTATAAAAACACTTGCGAAAGTACTTTTATAAAAGCACTTTTATGGAAGTACTTTTATAAATGCACTTTTGTGGAAGTACATTTATAAATGCACTTTTGTGG